TGCCCCCGGTCCCCCCTCCTCCCCCCTACATGGAGGCTCCATCCTACGTTTTGCCCCAGCCTCACATCCAACCAGTGGACTACAGACACCTGCTCCACCCGTCAGTCCATACTCCTGCTGCACCCTACCAGCACCTAAACCAGGAACGAAGACGCTCCAATCACATCACAGAGACGCACGACAACCACAGAAGAGCCCAATGAGAAGTGTTGAGGAGAACCTTCCCCCCTGCAGGGACGCTCACCACCATGTGGTCAGTGGGCTCTTCTGGTGGGATGGTTCCTGTGTGCAGCTCTTCTCAACAAGACGATGATGTCATCAAAGAGAGACGAGAGTCCGTCCCCGACATCATCATCATGAGCTGGGCCACGCCGTGGTCAACGATATTAAAACCATCAGACAAGCTGCTTCCTGAGAACGAGCAGCAGCAGCCGTCTTGTGAAGCAGAGAATGAAAAGTCAGCTGAGTGCTCCTGTGCTGTCTGACACAGCTGCTGACAACACTGAGGCTCTGCTCACTTCTCAGGACTCTGAGCCACTTTTTAACATCCTCAGACTGCCTGGGACTCTCCACAAGCTTCTCTCAGAGGATAAAAGAGTCGTAGAGCTCCCCTCCACTGATGAACTACTTCCTTCTCTGAACCAATCAGAGAGGCTCCCTGACAATGAGCCAGAAAACGAGACGACTCCACACGCACACAGCACAGAGCTCATTCCCTATCAAATGTCTTCAAATAGTTTTCAGATGAAGAGAAAACTGAATGAGTCTGTTTGGTCTGTGGAGTCTCTCCCCTCTTTTATCCCCAATAAGGAGCGGCTGCAGCAGAGCGGACTCTTTGAGCCTGATGTCATCGTGGAGATGATGGAGCAGGAGGACGACGGTGGACCTTTAACCCAAAATGAACACTTAAGAAGTCATAAAGAGAAGAGCAGCCACAGGTTTTCCTCCTCTGACTCTGTTCTCATGTCAGACAGCTGGCTGCTTTTCAGCACTCCAGCTGAGAAGCTCAGTCAGTCAAAGAAGACAGAAACAGAGGGGGGAATGGATTCCCCTGAAGGGAGGGAACAGAAACAAGACCAGAGCACGACTCCTTCAGAAAAAGTTCCCTCAGCTTCCCCGCCTCGATGGCAGAGTGTAGTAAATGTCTCTTCCCCTCCTAAAGACAAAGCAGATGAAAACAGGTCTTCTGAACCTGAGGCCAATCAAAGCCCAAACCAGGAATGTTTTCTTGTCACCGAGCAGACGGAGAGAAGCCCCCGCTCCCGTGAGCAGGAGAAACCTCTGCCCTCAAACTCTGCAGAAGAGGAGAAAACGCTGTGTCAGCTGATTCCTCAACATGGAGCAGACGTGGAGGTAGAAGAGAGAGCATGTGTGAACGCTGAAGAGAGCGAGCGGAGAAACCAGCAGCTGTGTGTCCCTGAGGTCGAGCACACCACGGCTGCTGTGTCTCCGTCAAAGGGACATCTAGTGGACTGTGGCGTCCAGTGTTCTGAACTGACAGACAGGAAGTGTCTGTGTGAATCACAGAGCAGCACTGAACCAAACAAGAGACCTCGTTTCAATGATTCAGGTGCTCTGCTTCTTCAAATCTCCACTTTAATGTGACTTTGACCTCCTGTAGAAAAAAAACAAGTGATGTGCTTTAACGGTTATTTATCTCCTAGATGTGAAAAAGACGAACAACAAGACTGAAGGATACAGTGTGACCGGACAGATGTCAAAGAACCAGAGAAGAAACGCTCACTGGAGGAACAGAGGACAAGGTAACGCAGCTTATCTGGAATAGTTGAGTCACGAAAAAAACTAAATCTTCAAGACAGTTTAATTTAATGTGTTACCAATTACGGCTTCAAGCAGGAATAAGATCAGGTGAAATAAGAGAACGCCTTCAAACCAGCTCACATCAAACGACTGAGGTCACAGGAGCACTCCCACTCTAAAAGAACTCATGGTTTGATTCCTGCTTTAGAAATGAGTCTTTGAAATAGCTTAGTCATTTCATCATGGTATCAGCTATAGTGTAAAGGGTTTAATGCAGCATGATCATTTTCTATTTTGTGATATTAAATGGATTAGATTAAGCAGCGTCTGTGACTCTCTGTGATTAACGAGTCTCTTCGATGAGTCAACCAGGATTGAGGTGAAGCCAGATTTCTTCACCTGCTGCTTTAAATGTGGTCACGTCTGGATTTCTGAGACGGTTTGAACCTCCATCACTCAAAGAAGCCGACTGAAGAAACAGTTTGAACATTTTTCTCTGTACCATCACAGAAAACCAGAACGGCCAGTGGGAGCCCTACAACAGATTCTGTGGTAGACCTGGACGATCAAAAGGTGACAATCACAGCTTCATGAATGAACTCACTTAATGTAACAACCATCTTTAAAAAGGTTACTAACAGATGAAGTGAGAGCTGGCATGGTGTCAGTCAGCAGAGTGTTGGTTTATAAAGAGGAGTCATGTATTTGTGTAGAACAGCACGCTCTGCTATCAGAGACTCTGTACACTCTAATGTCAATTGTTCTGCTCAGTGCTCACTCTGTTTTCGACCTAAATGTTCACAGATTTCTTCTGATCCGGTAAATGGTCACGGTCTGATTCTTCTTGCAGGTGGAAATGGAAGAAGTCGGTTCTGAGCACTGACCTTGTTCTGCAACAGAAATCTTGTTTTTAAAGAATCTAATTAATATTAAATGTAAATGTAATATGCATCAATAAATGTTTTATATATCAAAAACTCTCCTTTCTTCTCTTTATATTTCCAGGTTTGAACAAGCTTTGTTAGCAGAGAACAATGAGTAAAGTTTGTTCAGACAACAGGAGGGTTCATTTAAAATGTGACTGCATCACACACACAGGCAAAACTTCAGATTTTCTTCTTTTTAATGCTCTCTTCATGACATGAGAGAAAGGATAACATTTCTATTATTAAATGTGATTGAAGAAGCAGCGTGCTGTCTTGTATGATTTCACTAGGGATCAGAAGTAAACGAAAGTAGATTTCATGGGACAACAGTTTCCTGTGGGTTAGGGTTCCTTAAACGCTGCAGGAGGTAAATGTGTCTGGATCAGGACAAACAATGGGATATGTTCTCCATAAATGTTATTAATATTTCCATTAAAGTCAGATACAAATTAATACATGTCGTGGTGTTCAATGCCTCTTTAATCAGCGTTTATTGGTCACAAAATGATCCTGAACCTAGGAGAGACACTTACACATCTGTAGAGTGAGTACCACTATAGTACTCTAAATCGCTCTCAGACTGGGCGGTCTCTGTATTTTAAATCAAGACCACCCCTTACTGTTTTTTATAACATTAATGTGATAAGAAGGAAAATGCCCCTTTTCTAAACTAACAAATAACTTAAATTCGTAATTGTATTTTCATGCCCCAGTAAAGATTGTAGTGCAGATATAAATGTTACAGACCATCTCCTTAAATTTAAAGCGACATGAGGTCAATGACAAAAACTTGTCCAGACATGAAGGTGATCTGCTAAAATAATTACAGCAAAGTGGCCAACATAAAGACACTTAAACATGAGTGGTGGGAATCGCCAGAGCCCCCCCTCCCCCCCTCTCATATGATATTATCACAAGACAATATTTCGATTTTAAACATTTTGCGATATACCGTAAAATCCGATATATAAGTCGAACCCTGTTTTGAAGGTCTCAAAGAAAAAAAAAGTTGAAACTGTTTTCCTGCGTGAGGATTTATATTGTGTTCAGCGATGTCTACAACGTGCAGTTTCTGTGCAGCTGTGTCGTTCTTTTAGTTCCGTCTGTTTTCACTTTCAGGAGTTTGCGCTCCTACTAGCTACAGTACTGTAGTTGAGCTCTCAGCCTGCAGGGAAAGTTGTGACTTGTGAGGCACGGACTCCTAGCTTGCGAGTTGTTCTGCCCGACTCCATTCGTCACTCTTTAACTTCAATATAGGACTCTTTCAATCAAAAGAGAACTCCACAAGGTTTATTTACAGAACAATATACCACTGTTTCTGTAAATGAATGATTATGACCTCGTGAGGGAGAAAAGATGTGAAAAAAGTTGCGCAGCCAGCCCAAGACTGCAGCCTGGTCTGTGTTGCCGTCTTTCCCAGCACAGCGTGCACTCGGCTTTCAATACACAATGAATGGGGATGGGTTTTTAATTACATCAGGTTGTAGTTAGTGGCTGCTGCACCCGCTGTAATGAAGGTGCGTGTTTCAGTATTTTGTATTGGTCGCACTGGTGTATAAGATGCCGCCAACTTTTAAGACGAAAAAAAGGTATTAAAAGTGCGTCTTATACACCGGATTTTACGGTACATTAATTGAACTGAACTGAACACAAACAACTTTAAAACTGCAGTAATGTTTAACAATGCAACTGGGGGATATCCCAGCACCCCCTGCATCACTCTCTGCTTCTTCCTCTCTCCTGGAGGTGTGTTTAATGGATTTAAAGGTTGTCAGATCTTGTGAGGGGGGGAGGGGAGGAAGCAGAATGAGAAGCCCCCCTATGTTTCTAAAATGACTGACAGAGTGCCCCCTAGCCCCCCTTAGTAGTGTGTAAACATTAAACTATTAACATTAAAAACATGAAACGAGACTGACTGTGGTCCCCCAGGATCCTGCTACACAGAGATATATTCATGAGAGAAAAAGAGAGCAATCATGGGAAGGTTTTAGTAACAACTTGATAAACAAGTCACAAAAAATGGATGAGAGAATCAAAACTAATGGGGTTAAATGATAAGTAAACAGAGCAGATGGGCCGCCGACATCAGTGACTCACAGTGTAAACAGGAAGAAGTGTGAACAGATTTGTTGGTTAGAAAAACTTGAATCATATGGAACAGCTTTGATTTAATTACAAAGTTAAGCTGGAAGTCCATTTCACCACGTACCCAGACTGTATAAACTGTACACTACTGCTGCAGGGAAACAACATCTCCTGTTTCCTTGAACCTGAACAGAGCTGAGACCACACAGTCCTGTCAGAGCTCAGAGCTCAAAGGTCATGACCCAGCCAGGCGATCTCGTCCAGCAGGAAGTCGACGTCCTCCTGCTGTGTGGCAGGGTTGGAGAACACACACCTGAAGAAATTCACTTTGTCCCCCAGCGGCTGATAGCCAATCAGCACAGAGCCCTTCTCCATCATCCTGCCTTTGATCCGAGGGGCCACCTGCACAAACATCATCATCATCATCATGGAAGAAATGATGATTCTGAAGCAGAGTCAGAACATCACCCAGAGGAGGTCTTGTGTTCAAACTGACCTGATGGAGTCTCGTGTCTCTCTCTGGTCCACGAGGAAGCTCTCTGAGGCTGGGAGGGATGTACCAGAAACACACGTTGCTGTGCTCCGGCTGTGTGGGAGACACAGGGCAGAAGTGCACAGTGAGGATCGAATGGTTATCCAGATGCACAACAAATAAGGCTTATGAGAAAATAAGAGAAAAATAACTTCAAATGTTACTAGATACCAAAACTCAAATTAAAACCATAGGACCAAACATCAATGTCATTGTCTGATCAGACTCTCAACTTAAAAGCTCTCAGGATCTCAGAGACGCCTAGTGTCTCAGAGATCTATCACAGATGATCAACAGGACACATAGCAGTGAAAAGTAAAAGACCTGATGTTTAGGATACAAAACTGCAGTTTAAAGGGAAACATATTTTGTTTGTTTTTTTCGGTTGAGAGACAAAAACTCCTCAAAATCTTTTTAAGAAAAATGATCAAAACATCTGGGACTGAGTTTTATGACCTTTACAAGATGGTCAAGATCCAGAGATGGGGACTTGAGTTTCAGACTTGGATTCCAGACTCAGTTAGGTCGCTCAAACATCTGAGTCGAGACTTGAGACTCGACTCAGACTTAAAGATTTGGAACTTGTGCACTCTATTTTTCTGTTGTCTTTTGAGCGCATTAACACTACAAGCTAAAAGTTGTTTCCTCCCATCAGGTGTAACCTTCCACATCTGGTGAGCTAGCTGCTGACACTCCACTGATGACACCATGGCGAGCATTGAGCTTCTGTAGTGCTGTCACTATTCGTCAGCTCTTTGGGCTTCAATAACTTCCCGCAAAGCCCAAACAACAGATTCACCAAATGCAGTGTCTCAAGCATGCTGGATGGATCACATCAGACTTTACCTGACACCCGGCCCGAAAGAGCTGGGACTCAGTTGGTAGAGTCGTCGCCTTTCAACTGGAAGGTCGAGGGTTTGATCCCCAGCTGGCCAACATGTCCGATGTGTCCTTGTGCAAGATACTTAACCCTGAATTGCTCCCACTGCTTCAGTAGCGGTGTATGAATGGGATTAGTGACTTCTGATGGATGATACTACATAGCGACCTTCAGTGTATGAATGTGTGTGAATGTGTAGGTGTGACATGCAGTGTAAAAGTGCTTTGAGTAGTCGGAAGACTAGAAAAGCGCTATATAAGCTCAAGTCCATTTACCATCTCCGTCGAGATGACAGAGGTACCTCTCAACTTCATTAAAACTCTCATGATCTAATTCCCACATTGAAAAATGTGTTGCTTGAAAGGTTTTTGCTTTAAGGTGGGTCATAGATCTTTACATCTCCTTTAAGGTTAAAAATGATTGCCTCTTCAAACAGTTGAATGTGGTGAAACATTTATCAGGTTATTTACTCTAATCTGTATCTCAATTGTTCCACCACATGTTCATGCACTCTGCAAAGTCAACATAACCTCTGACACACTAAGAATGTTTTTTTATTAATTAAAACAATGATTAAAACACGGCGCGCAGTTTGATTCAAATAGTGAATGTAGATCTCTTACTTTGTGTCTGAAGACCAGCTCAAAGTCTGTCCTCCTCTGCAGCTGATCATACAGATACTCAGCATTTTCCAGACATTTGTTGACCTGAGATCCAAACCCCTCCGAGCCCTGAGAGAGAGAGAACGAGAGAGAGAGATGGATGGATGGATACTCCCAGGAAGGTACAGACAGTTTAACACGCAACGTTGACTGACTTATAAACTTAGTAAAGTGAGACGAGTAGGTGAAATTAAAAGAAAGTTTAAATGCAAGCTGCACTTAAGAATATAAAGAGTACAGCCATGACTTAAAGTAAGAGAAATATTATTAGGATAGCAACAGCCAAAATGGAAGACTCAAGGCTTCAGAAATGTAGTCTACAAACTGATGGGTGAAGTTACTGCGGCTCCTTAGAGTTTATGATTCAGAGTTATTGAAAGCACAGCAGGTGAGAGGGAAAGAGAGACATTAGATGAGACAACAAAGTGATCCACTGAGGGCATTAATACCTTTGCCTTCCACATGAGCCAGAGTTTAAAGGCATCGACATGTCGCCCACACTGGATGCTCTTGTCCCCGGTATCGTAGCTCACATCATAGGGTTTGTCTGTTTGGAAAAGGTACACAGCCCCCAACTCATTACACTCCTGCAGGAGACCCTGTAGAGGGAGAGAGGGACTGTACACTCAAACACAATACATATATAAATGTATATATACATGTATATATATAACAAGGGCAATCCTTGGAGGAAACCTCTAAAAATATAAAAACATAGTTTTTAGGTTTATTGTTCCACAAAGATATTGTAAGGTTTACGTTTACAAACCACACTTAACCAACGTTTGAGACAGTCTTAACAGTAATTGTTTTAAAGCTCACATACTATTCTCCTTTCCAATCACTAAATAAGTCTCAAAAGCTCACCAAAACATGTGTGTGAAGTTTCTTTATCTAAATCCACTCTGATCCTGTATTTGATCATGCCTATAAACCCCTCTATGGCTCGGGCTTTCTTGCTCCATGTCCTATTGTTTACAGTGAGAAGGCAGACTCAGACAGCAGAACAAACACCTAGCTGTGGGAGTGTCACCCACCTGGGGGAGGGGTTACTGCCCTTTGTGATGTCATGGAGGGTATATCTCCAAATGGCCTGTTTGAGCACACATTTTCTGAATAGTAGAGCAGGCAAAAGACGGAGAGGATGGACTTTTCTCATAATAATGGGGGGTTTGGAGACAGACTAGGGACACATATTAGTGTTAAAACAACATGGTAAAGTGTATTTTGAATTATATGTGACCTTTTAAGCTTTTATACTTGGAAAACTTTGAATATTATGAGAATATAAGTGTTTATGAAACACAGGACTTTATTTATATTAAAGCAACGATTAGTTGTTTTTTAATCTTTTGCTATTTTAAGCATCATTTACACACAAAATGTTTTTAGATCTGTTTAAACTAGATTAACGGCTAAAGATTAAAAGATGATATTGTAAATCAAAAGGTCAAAACCTGGACTTTAACCAGGAGGCAACAGTTTGTGTAACGTTTGACAGAAATGTCTACGATGACTCAAATTCTTTGGATATGATGAGCTGTCTCCTGTCTGTGTGGGTGACACAGAGAGCCCTAAAGGTAAACTTACCCGACTAAAATCCACAGCACAGCAGAGATATAAGATATGTGTCAACTGAGCATTAGATTAAAGCATTAATGGAGATTCCCTCCATAAATAAGGATTATGCAGGTCCTGGATTGGGCAAAACGTTTTTACTGAAGTTGTCCAGGTAACAACTTGATGATCGTTGTCTAATTGTCTTTTTCCATGCACTTTAGTGTTTCTTTCTTGTTCAGTCAGTAATTTAGAAGACTGATGTTAAAGTCAACAGTAACGTCTACCCTTTCTTCTTGTTTTAACCAAGTGACAACCCTGAAAAATGAATCCTGCAGTTTGTCGACTGTGCACTTGAGGCTGGCTGCAGAAGCACCAGAAGTCACATAGACATCCCATTAAAACAAGCCTATTTATACAACAGAAATAAGAAATATGTTTACAGCCTGGTTAAAAAAACAAAAAAGGTCAGCATTGCGTTAAGTTGACAGAAAGTTAGGCTGAGACGGGATTCCCAGCATGGTGAAGCATTGTGGTTTACAAATTGGTCTTAACTTGAAATCAACCAATAAACTGCAAACCAAAATATTTAACGATGTGTTTTTTTATGTTACAATGTATACAGTCAAGAGTTAACCAGCTGTTTGTGTAAAGTGCCATTTTAGATAAGAAGTCCTACACTTGCAGTACAGAGATTTTGACCGTATCATCGTCATGGTGGCACTTATAGAGAGTCAAAGGATTACCAATGAAGTCAATGAATTCATCCTCTGGGCTCTGTTACTGCCTGTACAAAGTTTTGGGGCAATCCATCCAATGGTTATTTTTCATTTTAAGTGGCAGACCAAACAAGAGATTGACAGACAGACAAGCCACCATGGCTGAAAACTAAGTGGCTAACTTCCAAGGCTGAAGAGTGGAAGAACCCAAACATAATATTACTCCTTTACACTTCAATAAAGAGAAGAGGATGTTTTCTTACTTTCTTCTTGACCAGTATGACGGAGCATTGCAGGGGGACTCCCATCATCTTGTGAGGATTCCATGTTACGGAGCACGCTCTGGAAATCAAACATTCTTATTCATTTAATCTTTGATTCCCCCATGATGCATGAAATAAGTAACCATAGATCCTGCTCATGTCAGCTCTAGATTTGTATCAAATCTTCAGGAGAAAAATACTGCAGTCAAAACACACAAAGATTCTCTGCTGGATCCTGAGTCCCTTCTGGGAGAGAACTGATCTTACTGGTCCAACGACCTAAACCCTCACATAGTTCATGATTGGAGAGATATATTGCCCACTCAGCATTTTATACATAAAAACCAATCGCATACCTCCATGATGTCATTTGAAAGCTTTGACCACATCTGTCAGAAACTCCAAATGTTTCTTACATGTCTGAAGCTAAGCCCAGCAACGCTCTTCACGTCACAAATCAAGGCAACTGAACACTATTGAAATGGGGAGAGGAGGTGAGGGTGGAGAGCGTCAAGTTCCTGGGGGTTTACATCTCAGCTGACCCCAGCTGGTCCAAAAACATCTCCTGCCAGGTGGAGAAAGTCTAGCAAAGACTCCACTTCCTCAGGAAGCTGAAACAGGCTCACCTCCTACAACCACTGCTGATAAACATTTTTTGGGCCACCACTGAAAGCCTTCTGGTCTCTTGCTGCACTGTGTGGTTCAGCAGCTACACAGCGGAGGACAGGAGGGACCTACAGCGAATGGTGATGCCGGCAGAGCGGGTGATCGGGACTAAACTACCAGCACTCAGAGATGTATACTGTACACCGGCCAACTCCAAAGGAAAGCCAGCTGTATTATTAAAGACACCACCTATCCTGGAAACTGTCTCTTCTCCCCCTTCCCCTCTGGAAGGAGATATAGGACAATCAAAACAAACACCAACAGGCTGAGAAACAGTTTATTTCACAGGCAGTAAGTCTGTGTGTATGTGCTACTACTGACAAGAGCTGCTAAACTGTTTTTCATTGTTTTTATATGTTTTTAATTACAATAAAGATCTCTGAAACAAATTAATAGACTGATCTGTTTTCAAATCAGCAGGTTACTGTACATCAGGGATTAAAAGGTAAATCTACTGTGATCTGAAGCTGAGTGTGCCTTTAAGTTTATGGGTAAACAATATCTTTATAATCACTGCACCACTCTCTGCTTGTTATGCGAGGCTGCAGGTTGGGTGGTGTAATTGATTAAGCTCACATATAATAAAGACAACACACACAAACACCAAGAAGAAGCCTGTTTAAAATGAGGAACACGTTATGTTTGGGTGATTTATTATCAGTTTGGAGTTTTGGAAAGTTACCAGCCAAGGTAAGGTGACGTGTCTGTTATTTATCAGAGGTATTTCTATGGATTGATCTTTATTTACTCTCTTATGTAACTATGACGACACAGCGTGATGTAGACTCAAAAGAGTTTTGAAACGCTGTCCCACAGAAACTCACATAAAACACTGTATGTGTGTGAAGTGTCAAGTTGTGGTTACCGTTCAATGCCCTGTAGTTTCATCCTGTGTCTGTCTGACATCAGCAGGCCTCCGCCCCATGCCGCCTGAGGAGACAGACTCAATTATAACCAGAGCACAATAATGTATATAAATCAGGCCGGCAAACGATTAAACACTAAAATTCAATAGTTAATGACGATTAACAACATTTTTACTTAAGTTTGAATCACCATTATTTTTTATTTCAAATATTTTAGTTAGGCTTTCATTTCTTATTTTTGTACTGTCTTAGGCTCAGGATACTTTACTTCCTGTTTTGATACAAACCTGCTTTTATTTTTGAAAAAAAGACAAAAGGTTGCGACATTAACTTAACAGGAACTTGTTAGGGATTAGCTAAAGAGGATGTACAAAATAAAATGTTTGATGTCACGAGGCGGACATTACTTTTGACTCGTCAGTCTGAGCCGTCTGAGAGTTTTCTTTAAGTGAAATGAGACAAAAGGCACAGAGGTGTCGTCCTTTTCCATCTCTGTGACTACAGGGAGACACTGCTGTCTCTGCGGTGGCTTAGTTACGGTGCGTCTTAAGGGACAAAAAAGCATGCCATCAATGCAACTTAGAGACCTTAATCTCATATATAACACTGACAGCCCCAATACAGTAAATATAAACAATCACAACCGATTCCTGAACGTCATGAGTGATTCATATGTCACAGTGGGACAGCTGTGGCTCAGTTGGAGTCCGTCGTCTTTCAACTGGAAGGTTGGGGGTTCGATCCCTACAGTAGCTTCTGCAGCCAAATGTCTGACAGAGCTCATTGGGTTAGACCCCTCACCCCTAAAGTCCAGTTTGTTTGATGTGATGTGATGTGATGTGATGTGAGTGCTCCAATCCGGTACAGTTCATGCACGAGCACAAGCACAGGGACACAACGTGGACAACCTCCACAAAGTCTGTAAAGAAGCTGTCATGTTCTCTGTGTTGTTCTCCAATGTGCCGACGCAACGATAATTATATTTATTTTTATTATCTTGTCTATCTCGCCTGTCCTGTAAACCAAGCATGCTTCATATTGACTTAAAGCCATGCATGTGTTGTATTACGACGTTATGAACAAGAGACTGTAACTGTGCTCAGGCCTGGTTAGTCCTGGAGCAGTGTGAGTGCAGGCCAGAGGGGGGATGGGTAGGGGGGGCAATCAAGAGTCACAGAGAAAAGAAGAGAGAGAGAGGCACCTTACATCGACATGCATCCACAGTGTGTGTCTGTGGCAGATGTCAGCGATGTCATCGAGAGGGTCGAAGGCTCCGTACACCGTGGTGCCCGCTGTAGCATTCACATAGAAAGGAACCAGACCCTAAAACAAAGAGAAAAACAAGTTCATGTACATGTACTACATGTGGTGGAATTTACATCCAACACAATCGGAACTGAAGGCACAACAATTGTATTTATGACCTGTAGAGCTGCACAAACCTCACTTCATCAGGGCAGCCTGGCTTTGGGTTTGGCAAAATGGGAGTGTTACATGGGCTGATAGCTTCAACTAACAAACCTTTATCAAAAGGGATTGAACTACAGCATCCATTCCTGTAATTGATTTCTTTGAAGCAGAATGTATAGCCTAATATTTGATAGTCTAGCATAAGCCTTGAGTTTAAAAAACATGAGATGGTGTTACAGATTCTCTGAAAATTCCAGAAAACCGATGTAATTTTACCTTTAAACAAAAGCAAATCAAAACTTTCTATCTTAACAAAAGTTAAAACTGAGAAAATTCATAAAAAGTCAAAAACTGGTATGTACTGGGAAACGCTGACATAGACCGACATCTAACAACTAACAATGAACTCACAACAAGAGGGAAAGAACACTGAGACTAAATAGCCATGGGGTAAACAAACACAGGTAAAGACAATGAGGACAAAACATAACATTTAACCAAGCAACACTAGGATAGATAGGAGTCTTTAAAACAAGGAATGTATGTCGGTCTATGTCAGTGTTTCCCAGTAGATACCAGTTCACAGACAAACTGATCAGTAACACACACCCATAGACAGAGAGAGAGAGGCTCTGGACAGACAGTGCTACTGTTAACACATATTGTCATGATTTGGTCTTATTTAGTTTTGTATTTTTGTGTATAAGAGTTTAGGTTTCCTTGTTTTCATTTCTCCCATCTAATAAAAATAATAATAATAATAATAATAATAATAATAATAATAATAATAATTTTATTTATAAGCGCTTTTCAAAAACTCAAAGACACTGTACAATAGTTAAAAACAGAAAGAACAGCACAGTAAGGACAGACTAACAGACATTGTAACATTACACACAAATCATAAAGATAACAACAATAAAGGTAAAACTACAGAAAACAGAAAATTCATTATAAGCTAAATAACTACAGAAATTCCACCACACTACACAAAGATTCATATTAAATGTATTCTATAGTGTTTTTTTCTGGGTGTAGGGAACATTTAAACTTGATTCCCCCGTCATTCATTCATACCTTTTTCTCAGCTGTAACTATTGAAGACTCCAGTTCGGCAGGAATCATTTTCCCTCTAAAAGAGCAAAAACAAAACATAAAGGAGTCAGTAAACAGCATGCCGCCTACATTTTAAAGGAGTATTACAGTTTGTTTTATAAACCCGCCCTCGCTCTTTAAAATTCTTTGGGCTCTTTCTGACTAAATAGTACAAAAAAAAAACTTTTTTTAATGGCTCCAGTAAGTTGCTCCAGTTTCACCTGTTAGCAATTTAAAAGAGAGGCTTAGTGGCTGCAGTACAAAGTTTCAGAACAAACACCCTCATCAGGAAAATGTTATTTTTGTCACCGACAGACTCACATTGTTGTTCTTCTGACAACATTACTGAGATTGACTTTTTCATTAAAGAGGAAGATGAATTATTTCTAAACCAGAAACAGACTTTAAATCGACTTATTTAAAACAATGAGAGTCCATGTACAAAACAGCTCTTTACCCTCTAATGTTGCCTCAGTCCCCCCTCTTTTTAATTGTTTTTTTTTCAGTTAAATGCTGGTTTAGGTGAACTCACGTAAGTGTAAACACATTCATCCACTTAAAAAAATATATAAATTTGCCCTCAAGATAGAGATATAGATTTTGTAGTCAACCATGGATGAATTTACTTTCAAATAAATATGCATTTAACAGAATGTAACTGTTTATATGCACACACACACACACACACACACACACACACACACACACACACACACACACACACACACACACACTCTCACACACACACACACATACACACACACAGAGAGGCACACAGAAACACTTTAAACAAGCCGTAACAGGTGAGCAAACATGTCTTTTGTTCTGCTTTGAATTGAATGTCATTGGGTAACTCACCCACCTTTCATCACAGTGGACCATGAACACGTTCTCACTGCCCATCCCCAGCACGGCTGCAGATTTCTTCACTGAATAGTGACTCTGAAACGATGAAAAGACAGCCATTCATCTTCATTCATCTCCCCTCAATGACACTTCAAACAGGTTCCCTGTTCACACAGCTGACTGAAGTGGCTGCATTGTTTGGATCCCAGAAGAAGAAGGATCCAGGTGCACATGTGAAACTGCATCAGTACTCACTGCAGGGCTGGGATACTTTGAACTTAATATACTAGAAACTGATTGTGGTGTCAAAACATCTGTTGCCTAACAAAAGCTTTTAAATACCTATTTTATACATTCAGATTCCTGAAACTGCTGAGGATGAAATCATGACATAACACCTACATCAAAGTCTGCACATTATGACAGTCAGAGATGATTTCATGCAGACATTTATCCGAGCCTTTCCACAGCGTGTTAGACATCAGACCATCAGCACGGGGGTCATGAATGAATATAAGACATGTTCATTAAAATGTCTCTTCTGGATTAACCAGGAGAAGCCAGAAAGATCCACTTGTTAAAACCTCAAATAAACAACATGAAGACATCACAACTAACCAGCATCTTGACAAAAAGTGTAATCAGGAAATAAGCGTCATTTCTAAATAGCTCACAAGAGCAACAGTGTGCAACCGCTTCATTTCTATCCTTTTAAATCTGAGGTCATGAGCAACAGGCACTTTCTGTGATGCTGTCAGAAACTTAGTATAACAATCTGAACCTGTCAGTGACAAACACAACATTGAGTGGCAGTAGAAAGCCATAACAGGTGTTACATGGCTGCAGGCTGAAGAGATCCAGACCTTTTATTGCCAATGAATCAAGCAGACTTTTTCCAGACGCTTATAAAGGAAATTCAAATTCAGACTAACCGACTAGTTTCATGGTCAGAAAACACTCAGAGCACAAGCTATTGTAATTTGTCTGCAGGTAAACTTTGTAATTTAAACCACCTAAGGACACATTGGACATGTGGCGGCAGGAGCTGGGGATTGAACCCCCCCCACCTTCCAGTTGAGAACCGCCCCTTTAATTTGTGGAGTTTTTGCCACCATTTGCAGTGCTAGCACTGCAAGCCTTCAATCCTACCTGCAGGTTGACGTCCACATGCACGTGCTAAATGTGATCATGCATTGCTCCGGTCAATATGCCAGTTTAACCTGACACAGACCTCATACAACTTTATCTCCTTTTTCTGGATCCAAATATTGCCAAACCCCACTGCTACTGGACAATATCTGTTCGCTGTGCTTGTTTACAGCGGTGTGGTAGAGCAGGGAGAGCGAGAAGTATAGCCAGCTGCAGCCTCTGAGATTATACACCTTGTGTGTAAAAATGGACATTTTCGAATGTGGTGTGTATATGACTGCTGGGGCTCTTGGTGCCAGCCCCGAGTGGACACTAGAAGAACTGCAGTTTTTTAGCTCTTCCGCATTGGCTTCATTTTCCCACACTGGAGGTCCTAGCTTGGAGCAGGCCCATTAACCGGAGCCACAGCCAGTCTTTGTTTTCAGTCCCTCCTGTGGCTAGGGGCTACTTTGCAGTTTTAGCATAACATTGATGATGATAACGTCATAAATATGTATACTTCTAGTAGTGGGAAGATAGAGGGTAAGATGTGATTACGTGTTCTGAGGTGAAGAGGGCCAGCTGAGGCACAGCTCCCATCCCTCTGCTCTTCACCTTGGGGTAGAAGTGATATCTGGCCACCAGGATGCTATACAGGTTGGATATCGTTCCTCCTTTAGAGAATGGACCAGGACCAGCAGTTTATGAACGAGCACACAGACACATTGGACACAGCAAATGAACACAGCTAGAATGATTTTTGTTCTTTTAGTTCGCACAGTTTATAGGAGAATCACAGCGCTCTGTTAGTGCAGCATGGATATACCTGGGCAGAAGATCCCGTCTCCCTCATCGTCAGACCATCCCACAATGCTTTGCATCTTCTTCAGCAGAATCTCCTCCATGAGGATGAAGACAGGAGACACTTCATATGTAAACCTGGTTTGGGAATGTAATGTTTGTTGTTGAAACGTAAGCACTACGACTTCAAAACGACTGAGCCGCACTGCAAACATCTCATACTTCAGATTTTAGCAGACGAAAATTAAAACTAAAATAACACATTAGACAATTAGAAAACCATCTCACTCATCTCAGAATGATGAAAAGCTAACAGAATATCGTGATGTTAGGGTTAAGCATTACATGCAGTAACAAAATACAATTCCACACCTCAAGGAGTTCCTTCTATGAAGCACTAAAGCAACAGAGCAAAAAGAGCAATTCCGCAAAATGACTGTTTGAAAGACAGCGAAACAGAAGACTGTTTCTGGATTCAAAATAATCTCCTTCTTTGTGGCCGCCGGTAGCCTAGTGGCTAGTTCACGTGCCCTATGTACAGCAGCCAGGGTTCTGATTCGATCTTGCACTGTAGTGTGATATAAACATCATAACCCAGACTTGTTCACTCATGGGCAATTTTTTCCTGAATATTTTCTGCTGTGTTCACACATCGACTCACCCCGACAAAAAAATGGGGTGAAAATCGATTCTGTTTGAGTTCACACATGCAGCTCACCCTGAACATCTTGGAAAACTTCTCATGAGTTTTTTTTTCTTCTTTGAAAATGTGTCAAAACACTAAAAGTCTGGTGGTTCCAAACATCGAGGGCTGGACGCCTTCAGAAGGGGATACAAGCTATACCTGAGGAGAAGTGATACGATTATAACGAGGGTAAAAACCAAAGCAAAAATTACACTTTAATTTTCTATTATCTCTACTGTTTTTCAAGACATCACACTATTTGATTCTTAATGATCTTAAACGTTCAAAAAGTCAAAACCTCTAAGAGTGAATGAATTTCTCCGTAATGGAACTGATAACGACTCTAAAGCCTCTTTCACACATGGACCAAACTCCTGAAAACTTCCAAAAATGATCCTACTGAGCTTCCTGTGTGTTTTATAATGTATGAAGTAAAGAAGAAGTCTGGATGAGTGAGCAAGTGGGAGTGATGATGTTTATTTCAATTAGTGAAATCTTCATGCACATAATGAAACTACTTCATGCTCTTTATCTCTGTGATTGATCACTGACTCATCAGATTGTATTTCTCAATTTAAAAAGCAACAAATAACAGGAGCTGCTATAAAATGTAGTGAAGTTTAAAGTGTAAAGACTTTAACAGAAATGTTCTAAATAAAAACAAATGAATGAAACTGTTCTAAACAGTGTTTGAATACATTTCCTCAGAGTCTTTGTCTTCATGATGAAGCCTTACATGTTAGTGTTGGCTGTAGAGGTCAACCACTCTCCAGCCAAACCAATCACATCCAGACCTGAAGACAGCTGGTTGAAGAAACGGGGATGGCCTGGATAAAACAAAGGTCAGGGGATAAAGGTCATGAGAGCGGTTACTATCCACAATAATAGTAACAGTAACAGAAATGCTTTAAGCATTAAAGTGCTGTTTAAGGGTTTTAGAAGAGATCATTGTTTTTAGAGCACCTAAGTATAACATGTCTTAGGTATCTCAGGTAGGCACGTACACCAATGTAAGATTTCTTGCTGCGCGTTTGTGTTATAAACAAAAAGCATTCAACTAACACTGAGGAGGATAAGTCGGAAACCAGAGCTGCGTGGGCTGTTCGGAGGAGAACAATAACAGGTAAGCTCCATCTCTCTTACCTTCAGCTCCTGCTTCCACATGCTAGTATGCAAGTCTTGACGTGAACACCCACCAACCCGATGTGGGTGGATTGCAGCAGTGGCATGTAACAAGTCACTCCCACTAGCCACTTTGGCAGGTTGAATTTTATTTTATTGTTCAAATTATTGTAATAAGACTAATTGCAGTGTGACACTACGAGTGTGTTTGCTCATTGGTCCATTCCAGAAACTTTTGACTTGAGCTTGCATGTGATGGCCAACGACACTGTCCCGTTGCTGTGTAGAAAATGGTGGACATAAAGCTGTAGGATCTATGTGGTGGCTCATAAAAGGTGTATTGAAACCAGGAGAGCAGATAACACAGAAGAGGAAACTTGACATTGAAAGAAAAAGGAAGAGGAGACAAAGGAAAAAACACCGTTTAACCAAAAAGTTGAAGTGGGCTTAAAACATGATCGATCCAAGAACATGATGTACTGCACCGTTTGTAGGACTTAGAAAGGGGAAAAGTTGAAGAGGGTTTCGTTTGTGGGATGAGCAATTTGAAAGTTGGAAACCATAAAGGACCATGAAATGCTGTCAGGGCTTGACCAGTTAGAAAAGGTAAAGGAGTGTGTTAGTTTAGTGTAGTTGAAGTGTTAATTCGTTCATTGTGAAAATTCCTTGACATTCTAAAATGTAATTTAATACCTATTACAAATAATACGTATGGCAATGAAGTACAAAAAGCAAACTCAAGGCCAGAGGGATTTTCCTTATTTGAAGGAGGAGGTTAAGTTTGACCAATCATTGAGTTAAATGAAAATGTTTTACATACATAGTGTGGATTTCAGACAGATATTGAACATTACTCTGGGCTCATCATTTAAATAATCTGAACACAATTTAGAAGATGAGACATTTCCTTTTTAATGTTGGTATGAACTGAGTAAAGCCTAGCTGAGTTATAGATGTTAATTAATTTGACATCATCCAAGGATGCTGTTGTCAGCTCTCACACTAATGATGCTGGAGAGGTACCTGCAGCATTTCATCTTTAAGCATTGACCTACTCATCAATTTGATGAGCAGAGCTGGCAAAAAAAATCTCACCATTTTTATAGCAGTCCCATTTATTAAATCAGCATACGGTTGGGCCCCATTGTGGGTTTTCTCAATATTCAATGTTTTTACAATCGGTAGGAATGTTACACACTTCTACACTAAAAGCCAAGGAATAATATAATGCCTTGCAGCATTCAGGAAATGTTTTGTGAAAGAGAGGGGGACTACAAGTTATGAGGGCATTTCAATTTCAAGACAGGTAGTATCTGCACAACACTGAAACGTTTCTGTTTGTCTATTTGTGGTGTGAAACTGTGAAACGATCTGAGTGAAGATCTGAAGCAAAGTCATCTGGTTCAAAAATAAAGATTATGAAATATTTTGAGGTACAAGGATGACGAAGGGTGATCACAATCACTGCCGGTTTGTCTGTAATGATTTACTTTTGTATATCAGTTTGTGGGTTTTGTTATATCTGCTATTGTTGATGATTGTAAAGAGTTAAGACAGTCAAAGAAACTTACAAATACACACATACACACACACACAAAGACACACACCTGTACTGACGCCATATTTGAGTGTGTCTCTGCAGTCCACCAGTATCTGCTCCAGAGTCTCTGGTTGGTCGGGCAGGTTCAGACTGAAGCCCTCCAGTCCCTCCATCAGCTGGTGAGGATGGTGAAAGTCCAGGACCTAAAAAAACACAGGGAGCAAAACCTTTTTCATTTGTATTATTCTTATATTTAATAATGAACATACATACATACATGAACCTTGAAGAGAACATACTGTCAAAGCAACTTTCATCTTTCTCTCGTCCTTCTCCTAATATATTTCATCCCTGGACTGGGTTAACTGTGATGTAGCAATATATGAGGGTTTTATTTTTTTTTCAGGATTCAAACTCAGCAGTCCTTCAGTTGATTTTGTTTAAATGTCGTTGATAGAAAGAGTCGATCACCTTGGAGCTCCTCTGACTCGATCTGCAGATGTAGCCCAGCAGGATGTTAACCAGCTCCTGCAGAAATCCTCTGGTCATCTCCTCACTGCCTGAAGCTGGGAGCAGATCTGCACACACACACACAAACTAATTTATCAAGCATACACACACACAGGCATTCCCATACTCAATTCCAATACATCTACAATATTTGTTAATTTTTTTAAATATTAAATTAGTGTTTGTTATTTTTTTCCATTGTGACTCAAATGTGCATCTAGGCTTTAAATATCTACTTACTCATTGTCTCTACTGGATTCCTGTTCTACATTTTTTTATGTGTGCGTAATGGACACTGGACAGTCAGCATTAATATCTGTGGGCTCTATTGTCCGTTGCAGTCTAGCGCTCTGTTGCATGAGAGCTTGTGAGTGTGTGTGCTTCTGCGTGTATTAGACAGAACACGCACTGGAGCAAGTTCACATGATGGAGAGCTTGGTGTAGGTCGCCGTCCCTCAGCCCTCTGTCCCTTTAAATCTCTACTGGAATGAATAAGGAAATGCACTAATATTAATCTGTAAAGTAGGTGTGCTGTTCTGCATCCTGTGTGTGTGAAACCCTCTAGATATCAGGAACATACTCCACCAAAGACTTCAGACTTTAGACTTTAGGTTTTAGTTGGTCTGTAAGGCAGTCATTGTCTGCACCTTTGCAACTGGCCACACCTCATTTCAAAACAAACACAATCCTGGGTGCTAACGGGAAAGAAGTTCATTTGAAACAACGTAAGCGCTGGGTGTTAAAATTACCAAAAGTACCATGCATATACATTTGTATGAGTCTGTTGCTCAAACACATGAATGGCCATATCTGTGCATGGTGTTATCATTTTGTAACTTGAATGTTTGGTGAGGATGAACACCACCTCTGATGCAGCCTGAATCAAGCCCACTGCAGTGACAGATCCCTCATATCCTGACTGCCTCGCTGTCTGTGAGGACGAGCACACCGGCTGCTGTGACTGTGCACAATCGGAGCTCTCACCTTTGCTGAAGATGCTGCTGAAGTCAGCAGGTGTCTGTTTTTGGTCTCTGATGGCTGCAGAGTCCTCCTCCTGTTTGTCTCTCACAGCAGATTTGTCTAGGATTCTGTCTGAAAGGAAAAAGAAGAAACATGAAATGCAAACACAAGTGAGCAGCTGATGTCTCTGCCAGATATATCCCGAGTTAAGGAGTTCATGTATCATCTTATGTCAGCCTTTGTGACAACATGACACTGGACAAAAGGAATCTCAAGTTGATCCAATGTTGCACAGATTTATGGATTTGTCACATAACACTTATGGAGAGGAAACAAGCACAGAGAGATTTGATCCATCACAGATGTTTGAAAATGTAATTTTCCACATTTGATTTCAGTAAAATACCAGATTTAAAAATGACAAATATCTTGGATCAAATGGCATCGCCTAATTTCAGGTAACATTTTTTAGAATAAGAAATGCAAAGAATATTTTTGGTCTTTTATGCCTTTATTTGGAGGCAGGGCAGTGGATGGAGTCAGTATTTTTGTATTTGAATGTTTGGCTGCTCATTGTTTGTGTGAAACTGTTAATTGTGCTGCTTGGCCAGGACGCTATTGAAATATGGATTTTTAATCTCAATGAGTTTTCTTTCCTGGTGAAATAAAGGTGAAATAAAAAAGAAAGCAGGGGCAGAGAGAGAGAGAAAGAGACAGCGACAGAGTGAGAGAGAGAGAGAAAGAGGGGAATGACCACAGACTGTAAATATTAATATTCCAAGCCTAAGTGACGTCACCCATCTGTTCCTACAGGGGGCTCCGGAGGCTCATCGGCAGCAGCCGCCATGTTGGAAATGCTGTCTCAGAATAACTTTCAGTCAACCTAACGACAGGCTGAGAGCTGGAGCTGAGGCGGGTTTTAAGCCTCTTGAAGTACTGTTACACCGCACCCACCTGTCAATCATGTCAGCTACGAGCCTAACTATGGATAACATGTATCTTTAACAAATCAAAACGGATGCTTACAGTGTGTGCCCATGAGGACAATAACTAATCAGACCTATTTCTTTTGTACCAGGCTGTAAACATGTTTATTTATGCTGTGAAAACAGCTTTTTTGAATGTGGTGTGTCTGTGACTTCCAGGGCTCCTGGAGCCAGCCTCAAGCAGACACACAAGGAACTGCATGATTTTGCACTTCACATGAGCTTCATTTTTTTAACACAGGAGGCTGCTGCTTGGTTCACACACGCTCACATGGTGCTCTTTGAAGCTGCGACAGTTGTATCAACACTTCATATGTACCATCCAGCGAGTGTGTGTGTGTCAGGTCTGGTTGCATTTGATTGACGTATAGATCGACCACCGGCTGCAGTGAGGTAAACTTCTGTGGCACATCAGAGATAGTTTAAATCTTTAGGATCTACATACAGTGTGTGTGTGTATGTGGGTGTTTCTCCGCCTCTCTTTCTCTATTAAGGACACATGAAGGGCATCAGTGGTCAGCACATTTATCCCAGAGTCTTTTTGCATATTATTCAAATGGATAGAAGTATGATGTTTTAATGAACAGCCTTCAGCTCTATACAGTAAAAATCAGAGGGATGGTTAAAAAGATCAATTTAAATCTATGAAAGAAAAGCAAAACTATCAAAAGACTACTTTTCATGGTCTTTATAATCAAAGTGGTTTACTTTAACATTTCAGTTCCAAGTTCATGCCTACAGTAGTAGGCATTTCGACATGTTAACAGTTTGACTTTACAATTTATCTTCTGAAGCAATTTTAGCACCCAAACTAAATCATCATCTTTATGTAATTACATTTTCAATGTTATCAAAGGGACTTCTAAACCACAGACTGTGATTTCTAAAAATACCAATAATTCTAATAGACACTAGTTCAGCTGCCTTAATAACAAACATTCAGATGAATCCTACCGTGTTTTAGTGTCATTTATTCCCTTTCAAAGATTTAAACCTACACTGAAACTCTGAATCCTCTGATTGCCCATACCCCATGTGCTGGTATTTTTAGGCAGGTTTCAACGACAAGCTGTAAATACTGAGCTTGAAGTGGACGTTACTATTGACCTCAATGCTGTCACCACTACAGAGCTGTCAATTTGGAAACATGATTTAGAGAGTCACATTTATATGTTTCTAATGTTTGAGGATTTCATTCTGTAGATGTTTCTTACCTGGTAGCTGAAATAAATCCATGTCCATACAAATGACTGTCAGCTCTTTGGAGGAGTTGTATTCTTTTTTTTATAGTCCAGTCTATCAGAAACTTTTCTCAAGAAGCATTCAGAAGAGAATTTTCTATCAACATTTTCATCTGTCAGAAAAAAACTCCACACTGAAATGTGTCACTAAGAAGTCTGAGTTATCATCACATCAAGCTGAGACACACTGAAAGTTTGTCGTCAGGCTGCTGCTGCATTTAAACACACACGCATGCACGCACAGGAATGCAAACACACACACACACACACACACACACACACACACACACACACACACACACACACACACACACACACACACAAACAGGTAAAGAGAGGTGTGGTCTGCAGACAGCTGCTGTCTGTCTTTCACTGAGAGCAGAAAACAAACACCTGTACAATGTTTCCCTTACGTGACATGATGACACTTTGATCAGTCTTAAAAAGGGGAGGTTACCCTTTTACGACCCAGCTGGCGTCATGAGACCATGTGTTTTTATTTTTGGTCATTTAAAGTTATCAGTTATTTACTGAATCAATAACAAAAAAAGGAGGACTCTAAAGCTGCTCAATGCTTTCAAATTAAAACAGTTTTTTTTACAGACGTAAACATGACTTAAACCTGAAGGTCTGAATACTCAATACTTAGAGTGTGTGCTTCTACATCAAAATTTCAAACATGCCAGATCGGGCTGTGATTGGCAATCATGGCTGACTTCAAAATAAATCTAAAAAAATGGGGGTGTTCATGGTCAGAAACTGCACAGTGTACGACAGTTTATTGTCAAGGCACCAAACAGACAGGTCTCTCTCCTCGTCGCTATAGGCAACCTGGTCATTGTTAGAAATGAGCTTGATAACTGCAGTTAAATCTGCGAACTTCACGATGATGTTGTTATGGTTTAAGGCAACACAATGATATGTGAAAAGGCTACACTGTAAGGGACTGGGACAAGAGCCTTGAGGAACTCCAATGTTAAGTACAACAACGGATGATATAGTTGGTGTTAATTCGTACCGTCTGAGGTCTGCCTGTCAGAGAGTAATGAATCTACATGCAGAGAGGATTTCAGAGGCCTATTCTTTTAGCTTTGACACTAGTTTTGAAGGAACAATGGTGTAAAAGGACCTACTTAAAAGTAAAGTTATATGCAAATGTTATGATATTTTCTCAAACCGACAGTTAACTAAGCAGATAACAAAGCAGCAGGCAGGTGAGAGTGAGTAACCATGGTGACTGTCTGTCTGTCAATCAACAATGTCCTGCCCCCTCTATGAATTAAACTCTTCTGTCACATAGACTGTAAAAATAATGGACGGGACAAGGTCCCCGGTCTAGTGAAGCTTTTATTTTTAGAGCTCCCCCTACTGACTGGCTGCAGTATAAGTCATAAACCCCGCCTCCTCAATGATAACAGACGGGATGTGGGTCAAACTGTAAAGTTAAAATACTCATCACATAATTTTTTTACAAACCTAAACTCTGCTGTGATCATTGGTTATTATCACCCTACATTGTGTTCAAGTGCTCATTTTTCTGTGAAGTTTGTTTTAAATAAGTTATTTGAGGTTGAAAAACAGGATTTTACGTCATATTTGACGATGATTGACAGCCGCCGATCTTGCATAGCTGTCTTCGTGAATAACAAAAGTTACGTAGTGAAGGAAAGCTGAGACGCCATTGAATTTTTCCGTTCAGTTTTTTTCATCTTTTTTGAGCTGGAAAAATGAGTTGTTCTGCAGTAAACTGTTCTAATCGACCTGTGGGAGATAAGGGATCTTTGCAGTTTTTTCGATAAGTAAAAAGTGTGATTTATGTGTCATTGGTTAAAGTCGTTATCTAGCTAGCTAACACAAAAGCAGTCTAAGGTTAGCTGAAATGTTGTAAAGCTAGGTTACTTATCCGGCATGATTTATCTTTTTATTTTATTTTATTAAATGAGCAAACCTAATAACTGACATGCTATGTTTCTTGATATTGTTATGTCGTTACTGTGATTGAAATTGTATTTAAAAATAAGAATCGTAATAAAAAATCCGCTCACAGATGCGGTTCATTGACTGTACAGTTATTTTACAGTAAAAATAAAAACGTCTGGTAAAGTCTGAAAAGTATCTAGGGCAAAAACAAAGTGACATAATTGTAATCTGGCCTGCATCATTACTAATGTGAACATGTTTACAGTCTGAGTGATAAGTGGGCTATACCGAGAGTAACAGGTTTTACTTTCACCGTGCAGGCTGAAATTCATAGGACCATATACGAGGGGAGAATATTTCTCTATGTATCCAGATAAAACTAAAGGTAAGATGTGATTTAATATAACCGTTACTGATTTAAGAGACTAACCGAAACGTGAACGCAAACATCAACAACCGGCGGCGGTGTAATGTAATATTAACCGAGCATCATGCTGCTTAAACGTGATAAATATTCTGCATTGTCTTCCACACACACCAATTCAACAGTCACAAGTTGATCATATTGTAAATTTAATGACGCTCATTGAGAAATTGTTCTAAAAATTGACAAAACCTGACAAACATTGCGGTGATTGTGACGGTGTCTGTATTTAACACCTTTGAAAGGAAGGTCCTAATGCAGGAGACCAGTGTTACACACAACATGCTGCTGTTATTGTAGTTAGGAGGAGACATGGGCACAATAAAAGAAGACATAAAGATCGCGTTTTCCCCCACACATGTTAATATGTTTTAAATGTCATGAATTTATTTTTGATTTCGCTTCAATAATCGTTAACGAAGAGAAACACCAGGATTAAACTACAGGCTATTGTTGCCTTTTTATAGCCAAAGAAAACTGAACATTCACAGCCTCTGCATTCAAAAGAATTTCAACATTGACATTTATGTCTTCCTATTTCCCTCTTCTCGCCAACATTACATTTTAAACTGGGATTTCCTTTTTCTCGGGTTGCGCGTCTCTCCCCCAGCTCGCCCCCTCTGGTGCGTTCCTCTCCATAATGCGCTCGTCTCCTCCCTCTAAAGCTGCTGCTACTCTGTAGGACGCTTTGATTGGGGCACCTCACCAATAAAATACTATTTTATATTTTATAAGCAGTTTGCCACCACACTGTACTTTTACTCTCCAAAGGCATATGAGTATGTGTGTGACAACTTTAACAAAGCTTTACCACACAGTCACACCATCCACACAGCTGATCCAGGATTTACTGTAGCATCTTTTACAGCACTAAAAGGTCATGTACAGGCAAACAGAGAGAAGGGAAAAGAAACAATCTGTGCTCTCAAGTAACAAAGCAGTCTCAAATCTTTTTGAGGAATTACAGCTAAAAAAAATTCTACTTTGCATACAGTACATCCTCTGATAAATAAAGTGAAGTACTTCTGTGGTGTTCCTGTAGGTGACCATGATGCAGCCAGACTGAAGCAGCAGCTTGTGAAGGTGGACGCCATCATCTTGTCTTTGCAGTGCTGATTCTAAAGAGAACACCTTCACGTAGGACTCAAAGGTAAAATGACCTCTCATATGATTGGACCGTGTTATTGTAACCGCTATTGGCATCAAAGTAATTTTAGTAACAATTTATAATCCTTCTTAAAATGTAAGGAAGACTAGCAGAAGCTTTTAACAGCCTCTATGGTTCTGCAAGTTCATGTTTAAATTGTTCTTCTTTCTGTCTTCAAGGAAATCAATGCTCAAAGGAAACAGCAGTCCAGAGTCTGATTCCAGCTCCAGTGAGGTTCAGCACACAAATTGGCTGTCTGATTATCTGAGAATATTTAAGATTAGTTTAATTTATCAGGCTGGCCCATGTGATGACAGTTTAAAATAATCTTCAATAGAAAGTGACAGGAACACTTTTGTCTTAAAACATAAATTCATAAAGCTGATCATATTGTTGGATTCATCATGTCTTATTATATATTTTGTTTTTCCTCAGTAGTGAGTAGTTCTCCTGTCTTAAAAACAAACTTTAGAACCTGAAGCTTAGCAGAACCTGAGGACAGATCTGATTTCAGGTCTGAGGCATAAACATCACAGTACAATTTATTATACTTTACATTTAACTCTCTGATTGTTTTTCTTTATTACAGAAGATGCTCTCAGATTCAGATCCATCAGCAACCACTGACAACATGGAGGACTCGTCCCCTGAGCGTTTCCTGTCCTCTCTCGATGGTCTTCTTCTCTTCAGTGATTAACTCTTGAAAACAGCAGCACAACATGCCAGACTGTTTGACAAGTCTTTGATTGAATAAATGGAAATGGAACCTCATACATATCTTGCTATGCTTATTGGCTTTAAATGTTTAATATTAAATAAGTTTGAAGGCCATTTATCTCAGACGAGACCAGCTGAGCTCCTCTGTTGTCTTAGCTGTTGTTGGTCAAGAAGAAATTATTGTCAGTTCAAGGCCTTTTCAAATGTGAACTATAAACTTAACTGCTAAATTATTTTACTGTGACCAACACGTTGTTGTACTCCAGTTAATCAGAGACAGTCAATTCAGATTTTAAAAAAGTTTATTTAAACATTTTATGAAAAGAAACAACCCCTGGCTTCATTAACCATGTGGAAAATAAGAAAGGGAGACCATTAGGTCAAACTGCTGGGACATAGGAGAAAGTATAAAAAATAATTTAACAAAGAAATCCAAACAAAAATCAAATAAAGTATAGAGATCCTGGATGATTGTTTGACTGTTAAAAGATGATGGAAAAGCAAATCCAACACGACTCTCCAGCATCTGGCCTTTCAAACACAGGGCAACATCATGTAAAGAAAAATAAATTGAATATTGACCTGGACCTCTGTGTTTTATCTGAGGATGACTATGGTAGCCTTATCACTGTTCACTGTCACAAAGCACCAGACTCTGTCCACCTTCTTCAGACGTCGATCAGCTCCTCTGGGTGATGGCAGAGAGGACTCTTCATCTGGGAGAGCTGCTGGTGTAAGGTCATTTCTACCACAGTGGATGAGCAGGGCATCTGGCACAGGTGAAAAA